TTTTTTTTTATTTTTTTTTCTTTCTTTTCTTTTTTTTATTCTCTGTTCCAGGTGCTGCTGCTGCTGGATCTTCCCGCAACCGAAGGTAAGATACTGTTTTATTCTTCCTCCATAAATCAGTTGCGGAGGGCGCTACTTTCGTCTTCTGCGGGCACAGCTGTTTTTAGGAGTATCAAAAACGGCATGGAGAAGTGACAGGTGGAGATGCATCGGCGTTGGTGAGTGTATTCTTTTCTTCTTCCCTTCCCCGTGGATTAGGGCTCTTGGCGACACCACGTTAAAAAAAACGCGCCGTAAGCTCTACCTCCAGGAGCAGCACCGTATCCTCTACCTGATCGGGCTTTTCTAAGGTGGTGTGGAAACGAGCTTGTCAAAATATGTATCTCTATTCCTCCTTTGAGTAAGTAAAATCAAAACCTGAGAATCTTTTCATCAAGTGCTTTTTTATCTTTTTTATAGGGAGAGCATAAATTCAAAACCTGGCAGGTGCTCCCAGGTGTTGCTACGATTGAGCACCAGTTTCTATCAGGTCAAAGTTCATAGAACGTTTCTTCACTAAAATTTAATGAAGGGAAGTATTCAGGTCCTTTTACGCTACGGAGCAAGATGCACAATTCTAGCAATACCGGATGATACTTTCCAGATTTTGAATTTCCACTCTTCACGTATCAATGGCTAAAGGCGAAAAAGTAAAACCTCAATTGTAACGCTTAAGGTGATTCGACGGTTATGCGATACATCGCAACATTTCGTTCCATAATTTCAGCTACTTGTCATTCGTTTCGAATTTTGAAATCGCACTTCTATTGTCATAAGACTAAAGAATTCATGTATCTAATTTCACAAAGGAATTCAATGTATTAAAGGCGTGGGTTTTTTAGAGGAAAAATATCGCATTCGACTGCACTTTCGATATTAGTATCGAATGCTATATTTTTCTTAGTCTCATAATGACAACAGCAGTGCGATCTCAAAATTCAAAAAAAATGATAAGTACCTTAAATTATGAAACGAATTGATGCGATATATCTTTCGTCGCTCTGGCAACCGTCGAATCACCTTAAAAAACGTCCGACTCGATCTTAATCAAAGAAGACTAATTGAAATGTTCCATTGCAATTGGCTGTGATTTATTTAGAGAAAGCTATGAAAATATACAGAGAATTTCAATAGGATCTAATGGTTGGTTATCCTTGAAAACATTAAAAAACATTGAAGACTTTTATCATCGTAATCTGAAAAACGCATTTCCGATTTTTATCAATGCGTAACCGTCAATAGAAAGAGAAACATTAGTCGACGAAAACAAAATGTTTAGTGGAGCAATTTCTGTAGAGTTCCGTTGAATAATCAAAAATGGAGAATCCCACATATAATTTGGTTGAAAAATGAGAATCCCGCATATAATTTGAAGACATCTAAGAGCACTTTGGCAACGCCTGAGGGTTCATGCGGCGTTCTTCCTTAGCACGACAGAATAGTGATATACATGTGGATATGCGTTCAAGTGGTGCACCAGCTCAACGACAAGATGACGTAGGAGTGCCTAACATATCGTCGCTTTCCGGGCAGAGTATCACAAGTTCCATGCGAAGTTTAACAATTTCCGCAGTCATTTTATTTTTTTACAGAGAAATTGTTCGACGAAACTGTCCGAAAATTTTACTGAATCTCCTTTTTGCTGCCGATAAGATTCAGTGAAATTTTCAAACAGATACAACTGATGCAACCGACAATTTCTCTGAAAAAAAAACTAAAATGGCGCGGCGGAAATTTTGAAACGTGGTATGGCGCTTGTGATACAACCGACAATTTCTCTGAAAAAAAAAAAAAAACTAAAATGGCGCGGCGGAAATTGTGAAACGTGGTATGGCGCTTGTGATACTTTGGCTAGAAGGTGATGACATTTAGATTAGAGTAATCTGTATATACACCCATTTAATGATTCCTGCGTCAAATCACGGAGGGCGCTATTCGTTTTCCTATAATTTATGATTTTAGGGGTAGCGTAGTTTTCTCGAAATTGATAGTTGAAATTTTGGTGGGCTAGTTCTTTCATCTCAACGGTACTCATCTTCCTCGTGGAACTTAAAAGCGCGCCTACGTCGAAAACACCTGAGCGCTTCTCTAATACGAGCGTATAAGAGCTTTCCCGCTTGTTTTTAATTTTTTGTCACGAGTTGTTCTGGGTTCATTTCCGTGATTTTTGCGGATTTCAAAAAGTGATGCTTTACTGATGAACCCGCACTTTTCAGGTTTTGGAGGTATGACCCAGATTCTCATTGAATTTAACGTGATAATGTAGTATGTAGGGGCAAATTCTCTCATTTAAGCAACGTAAATGTTACTTCTTTGTAGCAGTCCATTCTAATGATCAACCGGGGTTTTTCATAATTTTTGCTGCTTTCGATATGAGATGGTCCCTAGAAGAGCTCAGTGTATTTAGATTAACTCACAAGCGACCGTCCAGCCGGTCTTACGGATATTTGAAATGAGGGTGTCACCAAAGGCCTACTTACCTCTTTCATTGTCTTGACCATAAAGTCAGGAAAAAAGAAATTGTGAATATAAAAAGTTGCTCCGGCTAGGACACTTGCGATGAAAATGAGTTTTGCTGCCGCTTGCATTGCTCCAGAAGAATCTAAAAACACCTTTACAAAATCGGAAAAATAATTATTAGACCTCTATGAAAAATTTAAGAGCTCTTGAAATTTTGATAGTGCCATGTACCCGTACAACGTACAACGTAGTAAATCGTAAACACGTTGATCCTAAAATCTTCCCCAATAGAAGTGTATCAAATTTCTCCTTCTGCATTGAAAAAAAAGTGTAAGGTGTCATTTTACATAAAATAGAACACAAATAGTTTCCAATCGGATATTTTAACAATTTGTTAAGAGTTTCATCTTTGAAATTCACATGTTGTTTGACTCTTTCAAACAGCCAATTTTACTTGAATGAACCTGATGGAAAATTTAACTAAAGGACTGCAAACACTTTGTTCATTATGGTCATTCGTCATCTTTTTTCGATACGAAATAGGGGTGTAAATGTACCGCGTTAAGCAGAAAGGAAACAAGCCACATAAAATATTGCCAAAAACTGGGAAATTTATTTTTTTACGAGAGAACGTTTTTGCGGATTTTTTTTTTTTTTTTTTTTTTTTTTTATTATTATTTATTTTGGGGAAAGTTTTCAGGAATTTGCTTAGTTTGCACAAAAATTCGCACCACCGTTTTCATGTAAAAAATTAAAGTGCCCAGTTAAATTTGACAATAGCTGATGTGGCTTGGTTCCTAGCTGCTCAACGTGGTCCAAATAAACCGTAAAAGATAAAAGTTTACTTGAAAAAAATTCTTATGCGCCACAAACTAGGCCTATGGTTTTTGGGGAACTTTATCGGTTTAGGACTTAGCAACGTTGACATCACCCTCGCCTCTATTACAACTCTGCATATGTACTCTATGATCAAAGTCGAAGATTAGGTCACGTAGCAGCCTTGAGGCGTAGGCAAACCTCCTCAATAATGAACAAAACACTCGCAGCATATCATTATTCTGGAGTTCTCCCTGCGTAACTGCACTTTTTTCCACGAGGTTCCTTTCACGTTGAAAAAATTGTCCCTGTTACAGACGATGCGACAGGAATGATCTTTGAATCGAATCAACCAGAAGTCTCATACGAGCCACAAAACGTCTCCTTTAAGTAAGAAAAATGCTGCTTGAAGCAATGAACGTTACACGTCGTTACAATGAGAAATCCTAATTGCGGCAGATTCAACAGGCATCCTGATGATCTGGCTAGAAAAGTTTCCTCAATACGATGCTCTTACAATTCAACGTCAGGGAACAATCAGCCAAATTTTGCGGTAAAAATGTATAGCTTAATTGTTTTTTAATTTATTTTTTGGTTAATTGTTAAAAACTGCGACTTTAAAAATAGATAACTATTTTTAGACACATTTTAAAAGGTCGAATACACAGGTAAGCATTAATTGTTTGAATTAGTTGTGTTATAATGTATTTTATAAGAGTATATTAATACGTCAAAATCACTCCTTTTTTTCTCTCACCACGGAAAAAAAAAGTTTAAGGGAGTCTCTATTAAAATTGTGGTCCCACTCCAATGTGAGAGATGACATATTCATTTCCAATTAATTGTGGTAGTCCCACAACTGAAGTTGGGGTAATACCACAACATTTGGGTTGGTAACCTAATTTATTGGAGTACTATCACAATTAATTGGGGTACCATCTAAATTAATTTGAAACCTCCATATCATCCAAAAAGCCCGTTCTCTTTTTTTTGTGTGACCCTTCCTCTCTGATCTTTTGTTGACATATATACAGGTAATTTAAAAATTAGATAATAACCCCTCTCCCTAAAAAATTGAAATAAGCACGGAGATCACGTTGTTAAGTACAATCTAAGGCCAGGTTAAACAATTAAACCATTAGTTAAAGATACGTGGTTTTGAAATTGAAGGTTCAAACGATAACTAAGGACCTTTATTAATATACCCAGATTCAACTCAAATATTATACAACTGTTTACGATCCAACCCGAATGAAACACGCCGCGAGTCGATTGATTGGTTTAAGATTAGCCTAGATGAATCGCATGATGCTTTTTACAGTATAATTCAATGCGACTACTTTAGACTATGACCAATTTTCATATTTTACTTGGGTCAATTCAAAATCATCAACAAAACGACTATTGCATTTGAAGGCATAACATGCCTTCACTTGAGGTGATTCGATGAACGCTATATTTTATGTCAGAACGACAGGCAGTTTCTATCCTTTTTTCCAGCTACTCGTCATCATCTCGAATTATGAGATCGCAACTCTGTTGTCAGGAGCCTAAAGGATTAACTTACCAATTTTGACCAATTTTGACAAACAAAATCAACGAAATAAAGGCGTGGTTTTTTCAGAGGAAAATATCGTATTCGCATGAAGTTTCGATATTAGTATCAAATGCAATATTTTTCCTTTACATAAACCACGCATTTATCGCGTTGAATTTGTAAGTGAATTATTTAGTATTCTGACAACAGAATTGCGATCTCAAAATTCGAGAAAAATGACGAGTAGGCTGAAAAAATAGAACCAATCGATGCGATATATTGCATGTTCCTCTGACACAAAATACGGCGTCCATGGAATCACCTTGATAGAGAAAAATATCGAGGGAATATGGAAAGAATAAAGGTGCATTAGAAGAAATTGAAGAGAATTTCAAGTTTTGGCCGGGGGAGGACTGAAAAAGGCACGTAACCTAAAAAGTTACAAGAAACTTCATCAAAATCTCAAAATTGGGCACTTACCACGCATAACTATCTGGAAGCATTCGCAGGAAAACTACCTTAACAACCCGAGTTCTTCTTGAAGTGAAAAACTTGTGAACCGTCCGGAGCTTGAAGGGACAGAAGGAAAATTAGGAGTTTAAAGGGTCAGCGTGGAACACTTGACCTTGAGGACAGAGGGCGGGAGCAAGAGGGTAGCGCGGCGATGGGCACATCCCTTTAGTGGCTCACGAAGATAATTGTGGGTATGAATAAAAAATTCCAAGTTTGTCCTGATGTATGGAATTATCGAGTCCCTCTCTAGAGAAACGTTTCGCATGCAATCGAAAACTAAACTTTTCAGGCTTTATCGGAGCCGCTGCCTGCTTGCTGCCTGCCGGCCGTGGACGGTGCTGTCACGTTATTCGGCATGATGACGTCATGATTTGATAGGTTTGTGCATCACGTCGGCGCATCATTTCTCTCATCTGTTGATTATCTCGACGAAAAGCAAATATTATGCCGGGGATAATGGGAGGTTGCGGTTCGGCGTTAATTCACAAATTACTTGAAATATGAGATTTAATCCCTCTAATCACCTTGAGCCTGCAAATTTTGAGAATTCGATAGCTGCTAACTAGGTTCACAGTTAAAAACTGTCATGTTTATGGTTACTTTCAGTCAATTTTTTTTGGTCGGATCATCCAAAAGGATTTGGTTGATCCACCAAAATTTTTGTTAAATCTGCCGAGAACATAAGTTCCTATTATACATCTGGGAATGAAACATGTGTCCTGCTGAACGAGTGTGCTCTTGTCTCTCTTTTGATTACTCACAAGTTGATCCAGATTCGATCCTGGCCACTCGCGCCTGATTTTTGACGAGGTTGCAAATTTTCAACCCGAAGATTTTGTCAGAGAGCTGGCGCCATGTTCTGATCGACAAGTTCCAAACCCGATGTGCGCCGAGCTTCGGTCACTTTTTCGATACATTTTCGATCCAACATGGCGATGTAGAATACGTAGTAATTAACTAGGGGGCTACGCCCCCTGGCCGCTACGCGGCCCAACCCCCCGAAGGCGCTCCGCGCCATCAATGGGCCGCTTCGCGGCCCTATTTTTACCCTCCTATTAGTATTAGTTTTATTTTTCCCCTAAAAAAAATTCGATATGAGGTATACTTAATAGAATGAAATAATTTTTGGTTTTGATGAATAAAGAAAAAAACAATTTTTGAAGTCAAAAGGACGCGTTTCGGAATGACTACTTGATGAAATATTACAGTAAAACAACGAATAGTTTAGATCAGGTACTTATTAAGTGTCTCTGGAGTCGGGAATCGAACCCACACCTTGATCAATGTGGACACTTCCGACGTCGTAGACGACTCGGCTACCGCACATCTTGGGGTAATTGGCGGAAATCTTGTGTAGATAAGTATAGAGCTGATGCGCAGGCTACACACCTACTGCGCAACCTCCTCGACCACTGCGCATCCTCCCGCGCATAGCGGTAGCAGTCCCGGAGCACTCAGTAAATTCACTCACTTTTATAACGTGATTTTAAAAAAACCTGGGTCCTTTTTCCAAAATCTGCTTAGAGCGGGCTCATCTAGAGCCTATTACCTGTCGATTTACGCAAAAATCATGGAAATCGGCCCAGTAGAACGCTCAAACGAACTATGACAAAACACATAAATTTACATTGTTTATATGGGAGAATTCGCAACTTTACCACGTAATATAAAAAAACCTGGGCCATATTTTGAAAATCTGAAAGGAGTTGGCTTATCTAGAGACAATTGCCCGTCGATTGCCGCAAAAATCATGAAAATCGGCCCGGTAGAACGCTGGAACTAAGCGTCACCAGTTTCGCAAAATTAGGAGGTCTCGGAGCTTATACGTAGTAATTAATATACTCTCTCTTTGCACTAGACAGCCGATCCCCGTGTATCGAAAACAATCGATTATGTATTTAAATAGTGACCCGGCATGACACAGGAGTCTCGGAATGCGAGACCTGGAAAATGCTTGAAAGTGGAGCCAGCTCCTCCATACACATTACGACTCTATGAAATGTATGAGTCAATCCAAAAGAAATACTAACCGGAAAATTTCAATCAAGTGTGCAAACATTTCAAAATCATCAGTTAAAAAACGCTGACTATGCGAGTATAAATATTAGAGCCTAATAACAGAGTGGAGCGGCGTGCTGCCAGTGCGAGAGGCTCAATGGCGCCTACAAACCTAAGTGGATACTTCTCACATTGCACAATGCTTGAAGTATCCACTTAGGTTTGTAGGCGCCAATGCGCGTTTTGCGCTGACTGCCCGCCCGCCGCGCCGTGCGGCGGCGCCTGAAGCAACTATTTCACAACAGAGATGTTGCACAGTACTATACGAAATTGGACGTATTAAGAAAGACAGGCATCCTTTAAAAGTACATATCTTTCCTCGCAAAATAAATCAAGATACGTATCGTACACAGGAAAAATCTAAGAGCCTTTAGCCGAGGCAAATCAAGAGGTTCATCCGGATCAGGTATAACAAGGTGGGAATTTCTTGAAAGATAATTAAGTCCTGTTGCTCCAAAGAGGTGTAGAGAGTTTTAGTGAATTTTGTCTAATGGAATTGACGCTCCCTCATTTTTACCAAGAATCTCAATTATATATTATTCTCCGTTGGATCAAACAAGGAAAAAAAAAAACAAAATAAAACAAGCAGACCCTTATTCTTCAAAGACATTATACATTTTCATCCAAAAACGTCGTGATCCATTGTCGTTTGTATTTACATGTGGACTAATTAACTTTGGGTCTCAACTGGCACTTGGACTAAACCCTCCGTGCTGAAAAAACGCGCGGACGTAAATTACTGGAATTAACAGGTGTGCGGACCAAAAATCGTCGACGAAAAGTCCTATAACCTTGCCAAATCTCCTTCAATAAAATGTTATCTTTGAAGAAAGCCATTAATATTTTTTTTTTTAAATTTTCAGAAATTTTAGGTGAAATTGCAAATAACATTCTCTGAAAAATTGGAAGAAAAATATTTATAACTTTCCTCAAAAATAAACATTGTATGGAAGGAAATTTGGCAGCAACTGAAGGCTCATGCGGCGTTCTTTCTTAGAACGGCAGCATTTCAGCGTTCCGTTCCCTTTTAACTTTCACTGACCCTATTAGGTTGTTTCTAATTTTTTGAAACACTAAATATGGCGATGATTGCTTATTTGCAGCAGATATTTTGACAAAAAATTTACGTTCTCATTTTTCTATTCCGCATAAAGTAACGATGATGAAATCAAATCTAGACGTAATGCATTTGATGAACCTCAAATGCATTAATTTTACGTGCATATTTGTTCAATGAAGGGCTTTTGTTTTGAGCCTGTAACCGATTTAGTCTTAAAAGAATACTTTAAAAAAATGTTAATAAAATTTTGGTTTTACCCAGATCTTTCTTTGAACTTTACATCATTATTTTATTGGAGTCCAGCGAAAATTGATTAGCGTGTTGGATTTGAAACTTCGAGGTATTTTGAAAATGGTATGTATGGTAATAAAAACATGGTAAAAATGTGAAAAAAACTTTGAATCAAAAAGCTTATTAAAAAATAGGATGACAATATTTCCACTAGGCGCAAGAACGTGAATTACTAAAATCTATTTCAGTAAGTCATTCAAATATTTTTCGGTGAATTTACCTTAAAGCAGCTGTTTGAAATGACTTTGGAGACTGAAGCATTGACAATGATTGAGTATTTCTCGATAATGAAATCAGTTATAAATTGTGTTGTTTGCCGTGTATTGCGAGTAGAGGAAAGAAAAATACTACCTATTTACCTGCAAATTTGCTGCCAGGTTTGGTATTGTTTGGTGATAAATATAAAACACAAAATTTAGCAAATTTAAAACTAATTTATTTTAATTTTTTAAACATAAATTATCCTAGAGAACTATTGGAGCAAATCAAAATAAATAAAAATAAATAAAACAAAAATGAGTGAGGTCGAGAGACTGAGATGAGATTTTTAGGTAGTTTTGGTCATGATTTGACGATTTTCACGCCATCTGTTGAAATTTGAGTCTTGAATCTGCAATCAGAAAAACGAAGAAAAAAGTTAGTTGACCGTTTGAATTACACGCAACAATTAAACTTTAAGATGGTAAAATATGTACGTAGAAGCAATTTTCTTTTCAAGATCAGTATATTATTTTCTTAGTTTACTAATGGGTCGCTCTGTGTTAAAATTAGATGCTCCAGCTGAAATGCTAAAATCGGAAGTGAGCATTTTAATTAGAAAGTATTTTATTATTTTCTTTCTCGGACTTCTCGCGCTAATATTATGAAAAATATTTATCGTAATTATAAACAACAGAGATTTCCTGCTCAAAGGTTATAGCAAAGGTCTTGTGGTACTATTAAAAGATTTCCAAAAAACATAAATAATGAAAGTAGGGCTACTATCGATTTCCCCATTTAAAGCTGTGGTATAAAGAATAGATTATTAAGGTGTTCGTTACGAACGCCCAGTTTATCGATCCTTGTCCATTGGTTTAAATGGTAGATCAATCGATAAATTGCAAAGCACGCGACGCCACTGTAGTCGAGTTAATCTAAGCGTTGACTTCCAAAAGTAACTATTACTCCGTAAGATAAGGCAAATTCACGCGTATGGCGAAGGGTCAAATTTTTCGACCAGATCAGCAAAGTTGCAACAGAAAGGAGGAAAGAGATCTTATATAATATCAAGAACTAAACTCGGTTGCTTAGTGAATTTTTGCCAATATTCGAATCCATCCACTTTTCGACCCATCAAGAATTTTGGATGTTGTCGTCGTTGCTGCCAGCATGGAGACCAATAATGTTATAGGCGCACCATCGCCCGGAGGACTTTCGTTTTGTCGTAACGGAAGTTGGCAGTGAACAAAACCTCTCTAAGGAAATCCACGCCAGGGAATTCTACTATCGATAGCAGTGCGGTGTCTCTACACCGAGAAAAGAGATTGGAAGAATTTACCATTCCGTCTCGCTGTATTTCACACAGCGTCAATTCAAAGTCAATTGGACGTATTTCTATCAAACGGAACTATGTGAATTGAGACATGAGCCCTGAGACCCAAAAGAGTATGTGCATAACATGGCTCACGTCATAATGCACATAGTTCCGTTTGATAGAAATACGTCCAATTCTGCCAGAAGAAAGGTAAAAGTAACTATATACTGGTACAGGTAGAATCCTCTGGCAGAATCGACTTTGAATTCACGTTGTGTAAAATACTGCGTGAAGGAATGGTGAATACTATACCAATCGTTTTTCTCAGTGTACAATACATCGTCTCTGTATGAATTGAATTTCTGAGTTGTTTACAGGTAAGATAGGCGGAAATTCTCACCTCTTTTGAGCTTAGTGGTAGAGGACGGAGTGTGGGGCGTAGACTGGGGCGTGGTAGGCGGCGACAGCGGGTGCGTGGTAGGCGGCAACGGCGGGCGCGTGGTAGGCGGCGACTGGGGCATGGTAGGCGACGGGATGGCTCACACTAACGTGGGAGTAAGAGGTGGCGACGGCTGGGGCAGCGACGACGGGGGCATGGTAGGCGGCGACGGCGGGTGCGTGGTAGGCGGCTACAGCGGGTGCGTGGTAGGCGGCCACTAGAAAATCATAGAAAAATAGACAAATAGATTCAATATGGATAGAAAATGTAAGAAGCGAGTTACGTGCCATCTCCTTGTAAGGCATGGGAGGATAGGGGACTTTTACGGCTGGGTGTCGCAGAGCGCCACGGAGCGCTGTAAAAGCGGCTGCATAACGTATCGAGGGCTAACGAACAATACTACCGTGCTAAGGAAGAGCGCCGCATGAACATTCGAGAGTTGCCAAATTTACCAAGATAAAATGTTATTTTTGAGGAAAATTATGAATAGTTTTCTTTGAAATTTTCAGACACCTTAGATCAAATTACAAACAAAATTATCTAAGAAATTAGCGGAAAAATATTCAAAAATTTTCCTGAAAATTAATGATTTTCCCGAGGAAATTTGGCTACGCCTGAAGGCTCATACGGCGTTTTTCCTCAGCACGGCTGAATACCACTGAATGAAAATTTTAGCAATAATGAGTTAGTGACTTTGGAACATTCTACAGTATAAAATACGTAAGTTGATGATCATAGTTTTTTTTTCCAATTCTGCAGGGAGGCGCTGCTGCGATGACGCCTTAATGTATGAAAAAATTGCAAATCTGAGCTTAAAATTACAAAAATTGCGAAGTTTTCTCTTCGTTTTGCAAAACCGTTAGTTTGCAGGGATGCGGTGTTGTTCGTTAGCCATCGGTATGTAATTTGAATCACGTGACATCCCCTACTTCTAAGGCGGCGAAGAAAGCCGTTTCCGACAAACATGAGGATTCCCGCCAATTTTGGATTTTAGTCGATGCCAAGAATTTTAGCCGTACTAGGAATAACGCAATTTTTTCATGGTGAAATATTTTGAATACGAAGAAAAATTTACCCGTCGGAAACTTGAAGAATCTGTTTCAGGGAAGAGGATTCAAAAGATAGAAACATATTCTCTAAAAAGAGATTCATGGGTAATAAGTCTTTTTCCTTTTCATCGTAAACCAGACATTCTTATTTGAGGATCCTTACATTTGGTTGGTGAAAAAAATGTGATTGGTAATCCAACGGACTGCCGTCCTATAGGATTTAAAACTGAAAATGTTTCAAGTGAAATGAAAAGAAAGTAGGTCTTATCACCCATCAGTCTCTTAAAAAAATTCCCACAAACCGACATTTAAAGTTTTTGACGCATGATTTTTTCCTCTTACCTATTTTTCACCCGAATGAAAATTGCGAATCCTTAATATAAGAGTGAGTTTTGTCATTTCAATTGAAGTTTTCATTTCCCTGAGAAATTTGCATCGCAGGCTCGCCTTGCGATATGTTCCTTCCAGGTTACTGCGTAACTGCATCTTATTCTGATCTTCGTCATTCTGGTATGCAGTTTTTGAGACGCTAGGAAACTTTTCCAGTTCCTCCGCGGGATTGGATTTCATTTACTATTTACCTCGGCGAAAAGTGCATGGCTGATTTCGAGAATTTCATAACTCATTTGCTCGCCAAATTAAAACCAATTATGGAAACGCGGTTGAGTTGCGAAAGAAAAACAAGAAAAGGTTAAATAAGCAGGAACAGGGACGGAAAAACTTTGACCGCTCTCTTGAACTTTCAAGGAAATTACACTTCCCGTTGAGCTATTTTAGATCTTAAAGTTGCGCCAAAGTTTTATTGGGTGCAATTGAAACGATCGATGCTCCAATTGCCCCAGTTGCCTCGGCAAAACCAAATTGCGTCGGCAAAATTGGAGTAAATTTACAATAGGACTGCAAATTATGCCCATCTTTTTGAAGTGAATACCCTACGCAGGCTCAAAAAATTATAAAAATAATTGAAATTTATATGAGACAGCGTGAATAATTCAGAAAACGTACTTCAAATTTGTATTTTCTCCTGGGGTAAATTTAACGTTTGAAAAATAAACGTATAAATTCAAAGCTTTCATTTCGGATTCGTTTCTTACATTAAACCTTGACTCTTCATCTGATTTGCACTACCTACAATTTGCAGCGAAGAACCAATCTTTCAAACTCAGCTAAAACACACGTACGCCATAAGTTTCCCACCAAGTATAGGTAAGTGCTTTCATGGATAAGCCCGAAAGAGTGCTCCCTTACAGAGGCGTGGCGTGCTTTGCGACATATCGATTGATCTGCCATTTAAACCTAAGGAAAAGGATCGACAAATGGACGACAAAGGATCGACATGTTTGCGACGAACACCTTAATAATCGATTCTTTACCATAGCTTCAAATGGGGGAATATCGATTATCGATCATTCACGCCTCGCCAGCTCACTTTAAATAGGCTCCTTTTCGTTGAACACTGCTATATAATTGTATCTGTGTATCGACTTTTAAAGAAATAATTTACTCTAAATTATTTAGCTCCTTATTCCAAAATATTTAGGGTGATGAACAAGATTTTTGGCTAGTCAATCATAGTACACATGGCACGTTTGTGTTCGTGAACCTTAATTCATTTTGTTCATTTTGGCTTGTTCATATTTGTAGACGATCATTATAGTAATTAAAATTTAAAAAAATATTTTAAAATTATTTTAAATTTTTTTGTTTACCTGATGGGTATCCGACGACTCCGTATAATCCTCTCTTTTCCTTGTTGGAGGTCTCAGCGGGTTTGCTTTCTGCGGAAGCGTCTTCGATGGGGGCAGCGTAGGCGCAAGCCAGGAGGAGGAGGGTGCTGAAGACCTGAAACAGATCAGAAAAATTCAAATTAAATCCTAATTTGAGTAAACGACTTTCACGGTGATAGTCTTGTGATGATGTAGTCAAAAATTGCAAAGCAAAGTTTTGAGAGAATAATTTTGATACACACCGGAAAAAAAACAAATTGGATCTAGAGTCCAGACTTTTGAAAACATTGACCAGAAACAGGACTCTTGATTCAATCAGATTTAGGCTTAGATCAAAAGGAAATCCGCTCCTCAAATTAAGAGGCTTGGTTCTTGATTTAAACTTAAATCTGATTTAATCAAGAGTATTTTTTCTTGTAGATGTTTTTAAGAGTCTGGACTCTAGATCCAATGTGTTTTTTTCCAGTGTATATGTTCTACATGTTTGTACATCTAAAGAATTATTCCTAGATATTAAGCCGATTCGGTTCAATAATATATTTTTCTTTGTGGAATTCTCATTAATTCAGAGGAGAGTTTAGTCATGAAAACAGACTTGAAATTTTGATTGAAAGTGCTGATGATTACTGAACTTGATTTCAATGATTTAAAAATTTTGGTATGATCAATGTGTCAGGTGCACTAGTGACATAATCGTATTTTGATAGTTTAAGATGATAGATTAGCACGAATGGAAAAGATTCTTTCAGACTCCAAATTTCTTCGTCCAATATTAACAGAGACATTGAAAAACATGGCATGAGATGCCATCCACAGTCATATTCAATACCATTGTCTCTTCCAACTTGATTTCATCAATCAGTGCTTCAAAGAAAATTCAGTGGTAACGTGACGTCAAACGCGAATGGAAAAAGGTGAAAAAAACCGTGGTATGCACTACGACGCCGAATGACGTCATTCGTCGTGTTTTAGGGTAGGGAATCTCAATCCAGTTTTTGCCCACTTTCCACCCAAGAACTAATTTTCGGCGGAAAATTTGAAAAAAAACCATCATTGTGAGTTAGAAATATCTTCAAGATGACAAACTCCACAAAAAATATTCAGATGTCGAGTTGTGAATTTTTTATTTTCGTCCACAGAGGACCGCACTGTGCGTCAGCGTTAACGATCACATTTCAGTCCACGCTCTCAAAACTTGGAAGCATTCACTGATCCCGAACTGATCACGCACTGGCGGCCGGGCGCGCATAGCAAACGATCATTTCACAACGGGTAGAATATCTGCGTAACGGACGAAGACACAAGTACTTACGGCGAGCTGCATGGTGGTTGAGGGTGCGGGTTGGTGCTGACTAGCTAAGATCACAAGAAACTGGCACAAGAGACTGATGGCTTCAGCTTGGGATCAGCGAGTATTTATACCATATCAACTGTCACCTCCGCGAACCAAAAGCGGGCGCTCGCCCCTCGACTCACGCACACACACGCACCCCGCCCGAGCCCCCCTCCCCCCCCCACGGGGGGCTGCTCTTGAAATGCGTATCTGGGTTACGATCATCGCTTAGTTAGGGGCCACCGAGCCCCGTCTGATTGAGTCTTTTAATTACCGACTTCTGTTCGCCACCGGTGCGAACGTCGGGTGTCGGGTGTCCCTCGAGAAGGAGCGTGTCGCGCGGGGTTGCCGAAGACTCCCGGCGCAGCTTCAGACTCTGTTTCTCAGTTATTGGTTCGGAACACACTCGAGTGGAGTATCATTATCGGAGGGTCGAAAATTTCCATCTAATTGTTCGTTTAAATTGGTGTCGTGCTTATTTGTGTTATTTTTTTTTTTTAGTTTTGTTTTTCTATTATTTTTTTTAGTTTTGTTTTTCTATTATTTTTTTTTTAATTTTGTTTTTCTATTATTTTTCTAGTTTTGTTTTTCTATTATTTTTTTATTTTTATTTTTCTATTATTTGTTTAGTTTTGTTTTTCTATTATTCTATTTTTTTATGATCGCCCATTAGAAATTGGCTTTTCTGCGGGGGAAGCGGAATTTTTAGGGAGAGGGATTTTGACCCTCCTCACAGTAGTATTGGCAGTTAAACGATTCAAGATAAGTTAAAAAGAACTTGTGGATTTCAAAGAGATGACTTTTAAAAACCTGTTAAAACATCTAGGTTGTGAAACCCTATCTGTTCTTTTTTTTTTCAAAGAAATGCTACTTTGTAGGTTTCCTACTTTCGTATCACTTTATTTCAGTAAGCTTTTACAAAAACTTTACATAATTTTCCATACTTTTTAATCGTTACATTGAATATTTTGTAGTTTACTTTGTGTTTGGCATCAAAATGACAGATTTTGAGAATTTAAGAGAATATTGGTGTCAATTTTTTTTTTTTTTAAAAAAAAAAAAGCTCTCTTTAACGTAACTTTTACATAATATGTGCTGAATATAGAACGTATTGGGTTTCCTGACTCATAAAAGAATAACAATTTTTTTACGTTTTTCCAAAGTTCAAATTTTATAGTTAATGCTACCCGGGAGAGGCGGGTCGAAAAATCGGATTTGAGATTTAGGCTGAAAGCTCTCTCGAGTGTCCTAAAAAAAAAAGTTTCAAGTGACGTTGTTCATGGTTGTGCTATAAAAGGCGTAAAATTAAATTATCTTTTGGCAATTTCTTGCCCTGGACGTGGCCAATAATGCTTTTGAACTGATTTTCTCGAAAGTGTTTTTTTAAAGTGCAATCTCCAGATCAGCATAATTTTGGTTTGGTTGGTGTTCTGGGGTTTTTTTTAAATTTTTTTTTTTATTTTTTTTTTTTTTATTGAATACAACTAAGTAAGAAGAAGCTACATCTCAAAACCATAAGCATATTTTACGGGTCTTTTCTTTTAATAAAACATGTGTATTTACCGTAACAACATTTGTTTTTTCTTTTAGTGCGCTTACTTTAAGCATTCTATTCCTGACATTTACATTAAAAACGGATGTTAATAAAACATAAATTTTAATCTGAGTCAGAGAAAACAAATTGACAGGTAAATGTGACCCATGGCCGTGTGCGGGCAAGTTATACCTGAGCTAAACGAGGCAATTTTTTTTTTTTTTTTTAAGTGAGCTATTTTAGAGAAAAATTAACAAAGGTATTGGAGGAATATTGATGGCCGAAATGTGAAACTATGTATCTCAGTTTGCGACGTTGCAGACTTCCTCTCATACTTTATTTTTTCTTTGAAAAACTAGTTGACGTCATTTCTTGAAAAATTCCCTAATTTTTCATCTCTGTCAAAAGAATATTCTGTGTGAATTCCAAGCTATAAGGTTGGCTCGATTCTCTCCAAAAAAATCAAATAAGACCGGAAATTTTGAAACACCGCAATTCAGATACGTAAATTTGAACCTCGGTCATCGATATATAGAAATTATCTATGTAATGATAAATTCAGTATCTTGCGGATTTTTCCCACAGAACCACAGGCTCCAAACTGAGCGGAAAACTATGAAAAGTCCATGGGGGAAAAATATAATCTGACCGAGTCAAACAGAACTCAGGAGGTCCTTTATATTTAATTGTTTGTAATTATGTATTTAAGCTTAGAGCATTTCATAAACATTCAGGTTTCAGTTACTTAAAAATTATTTCCGTATGCTTGCATAAGTTCCGATAATCCACGCTTCCGAGTGTACTATATTTTTTTACTTTTATAATGTACCTCTTAAAAATAATTTGGGAGTTATTGAAGATGAAAATTCTCTATTCCATGCATACAGCAAAGTAGGATATTTTATCTGAAACAGGCTCCAGTGTTTACTATACTGTGATAGATATTATGCAAGATTATATGGTAAATGATACCGAACTTACTGGCTGCATACTTTTTTCCGCGTGCGTTACATAGTTATCTGCGCTGATAAAGATTTGGCTATAATTTGACGTCATTTTGTAACAAGGAATCACGGTTTCTGGCTATCAGTTTCATATGGAAAATGTTATTGTAATAGCCACTACGAGTACATATTTAAGAATGACTAAATTATTCAATATTCATGATGTGAATATGAGTTGTTTTTAGAAACAACGTATGTGCTATTAGCTTCCTGAAACGGGATGAGTTTTTATAAATGGGTCATATGAATTAACATAAAGTTCAATTAATTATACAGTTAGCTCCTTTTTCCTCTCACTGTGCAGCACGATGAAAAGCTGTGTCATGCAAATGTCAAATGCTGCAAAAGCACGGCGAGACTAACTATCTAAGATAGTAAAGTTCTCTTGTGTGATCTTTAGCCGGAAGGTAAGTCTTCTGTTTCCCTTGTTAATTTTTCAAAAGCTCCCAGTGTACACCTTTGAGCCAATCCGGCAGTGCTTACAGAGCAAGCCTGTTGTCAGTTTTTCTCATGTCATTCACTGAATAATTAGCAGAACTACGTTTGTCACGGAGAACCTTTGAACACCGCATTAAAGTCTAGCAAAAAGTTGAATCCTTTTAATTAAAAAGGGCTCCCAACAACAAAATTCCCCTCGACAAATGTCACAAACTGCGAGTAGCCCTCTATACTTATTTTTTTTTTTTTTTTACCTAGAAATTAATACATATATCAAAATGTTGGGCATGATTCGGCTTATCGTATATCTAGAAAAAGTAGTCATTGCTCATTGCAGTAAGTGATTGCGTCTGAGCTTCATTCTTTGATAAATTGTAGAGCGATGATTTGATTCATTAAAGAGGAGGTGAGGAACGAATCCCGAGCCCCATGCTGTAACATTCACGTGTCCTGATTTTTTCATCGCCCTCCAATAACTCGAATCGAGAATGACCTCAGGAAGTGCAAAAACTCAGAAGTAAGTTCGAGGGCATGGATGATCGTGGGACTCGAGACCCGCACCAGGTTCCCGTGTGCCGCATCAACTTTGGAAAGTAACTCCGCGTCCAATTGTTTCTCTAGCGTAAAATTCGGCTGACGTCTTCAAGCTTAGATAATTTGATCTCGTTAAAATTTTGCAGGTTTTTTTCGAGCGATCTCACTAATGCTACGGACCAATGATACCTATGTTGATACGGAATAATACTGCCGTGCTAAGGAGGAATGTCGTATGAACATTCGAGAGTTGCCAAATTTCCTTCGATAAATTGTTCATTTTTGAGGAAAGTTATAAATATTTTTCATTGAAATTTTCAGGAACTTCAGGTGAAATTACGAACAAAATTATCTGAAAAATAGGAGGAAAAATATTCATAAGTTTACCAGGGGATTCTTATTTTTGATCAAAGAAAATTTGGCAACGCCTGAAGGTTCATACGGCGTTTTCCCTTAGCACGGCAGAATGAGAGCACAAGGTTTTTTTATTATACTTACAATTCCAAATAATTGTGGTAGTACCCCAATAAATTAGGTAATTAACCAAATGTTGTGCTACTGCCCCAACTTGAGTTACGGTACTACCACAATTAATTGTGAATGTCCATTGTCCATATCATGCAACAAATTGGGATGGTGCCAAAATTTTAGGGGCTAATCTAAAATGTGAGCTACGGAATTGTGGCAATAATGGGTTAAACAATGTCAATTCTTGCGCCCTTATACTGCTGTGCTAAGGAAGAACGTCGTATGAGCCTCCAGGCGATACCAAGTTTCTACTTGCTACAGAATTCGAAAAAAGCTTTTTCCCTAAAAAATTAAATTTTGCTATTTTATTTCATAGGCGGATCCAGAAACCTTGGACGGGGAGCGTAAGGGGAGTGCAGGGGCCTTCCCAGAAAATTTTCAAAATTTTTAAGCAACTGATGTGCAGTTTGAGTCCATTTTTTCATGAATAAGTACAAAATATTCGCGTCCTTCGTTCTTCTCTCCTCCATTTCCTCCTTTCTTTCTTTCTTTCCTTGTTTGAACTCTTTTTTGGGGGGGAGCTGGACGCCCCTTACGGCCCCCTTGGATCCACCTTGATTTATTTTCATTTTTTGGGATGCGGTTTTAAAAGCAGCATTGAGTGGTGTCATTACACAATTTTCGTCAAATGATGCCCTTATGACCTTTTGATCCCATATGCCTCCAGTGTTTTGTGGTGGCTGGTGACCGCATCGGCGGCAACATTGTTCGCGGAATGAATGGCGAAATCGATCAGCGGACGATCGGTGATCGGTATCGACGCGTTGATCGACGATCAGGGTTGTCAGGTTTGGCGAAAAACGCGGGTTTCAATGGTAAAAAGTGCTGATTTTTAAGCACAAATTGGCACCAATATCGACGATCGGTTCTTTCTCAAAGACACCGCGCTCTCGACTTGCTGAATCCGCCGTGTTAACTGCATTTACGTGTACCCATTTATTTCGCCCCTATCTCTCAGCCACCCGCCGCATCAACGTTGCTAGATTGTGCGAAAAAATCTAGATATTTTACCTCGAGTTGAATGTAGGGGGTGTGCTGAATTTTAAGAAAAATCTATGCAACAATGCGCCGCATCAA